ATCCAGCAGAGCCGCGCCTTCCAGCCATCCATACTAAGGCATCAGACATGTGACTGAAGCTGGCCTGGACCTCCCCAGGCCAACACATTCACCAGCTCATCAAGATCATCAAGAGATCTTGCTCAACAACACATGCAGCACAAGACGACCCAGCCAAGCTCTGCCCAAATGCCAGACCCATACAAGTATGAGATAATTAAAAGGCTGACTGTTTTAAGCCACTAAATTTTAGGGTTATGTGTTATGCAACACTAGTTAGCAGGAATAGGAAGCCAGAAATTTAGGTATACCCATCTTGTGCAGTGGCATTTGCAGTTTTTAATGGGACCTGACGCTTTAAGGGAAAGAAGTCACTTGAGCATGTGCCTAAAGTGCAGGAGCTTGAGAGGGACCTGTGCAAGTGAGGAGCTCCACTGGTGTTGTCATAAATGTACGTTTAGGGTCGGCGCTGTGGCATAACAGGTAAAGCTGCCGCCTGCCGTGCCGGCATCCCACATAGATGCTGGTTTGAGTCCCGGCTGCTCCACTTCTGATCCAGCTCTCTGCTATGGCTTGGGAAGGCAGCAGAGGATGATCCAAGTCCTTGGGCCCCCGCAGCCACATGGGAGACCTGGAAGAAGCTCCTGGCTCCTGGCTTTGGATTGGTGCAGCTCTGGCCGTTGCGGCCAATTGGGGAGTAAACTAGCGGATGGAAGACCTCTCTCTCTCTCTCTCTCTCTGCCTCTCCTTCTCTCTGTGTGTAACTCTGATTTTCCAGTAAATAAATAAATATTTTAAAAGAATAAGTGTACGTGTGTGGCTGGGCCTTGGGTAGGGGAGGGCAGTTCTCAAAGTAGATGACAAAGGCAGAGCAAGCTGCATGGCAGAGGGGCAGGAAGGTACCCGTCTCTTAGGTGGGCCCAAGGAGCTCAGAGTGGCTGGATGCAGAGACACAGCGAGGTGGGCATCGACAAAGGGGAGAGGGAGAAAGGCAGCAGCAGTTAAAGCCCAGGAAGGGGACTAGAAGGACAGGGACAGGTAGAAATGCAAGATTCATTGGCAAATCCTGGGATAGGCTTCCTAGAACAATGATCTTTACGGGGCGTGAGAATGTTAAAGTTTAAGAGAATGATTGTAAGAGATCAGTCCGCTTGGTATGAGCAGAAATGGAGAGAGGCAGAATGCCAATCATTCGGGTTTGTTTCAGCACCCCTCACAGGCCCGTGGCCTCCACTAGGGAAAGTCTCGATTCCATGGGAGATGTGGAGGTGGGGTGCATGCTGGGCCTCCTCATTCCTCCCACAGCCCCACTGCCGGCGGCCGACTCTTTCTCCCACTTGCTATCCACACTTTAGAGGCCCTGTGATAAAACCATTGAGGCCGCTGTTGAGTCAAGGTCTGGAGCAGATCAGTGTCAAAAAGTTCATGACGAAATCAAATCAAAAGTAAGTTAGTTTTGGTACAATATTTTCTTGAAATCCACGTGCGTTTTTTTCATAATACACGTTTCTCATGCAATTTCTGAACGTGGAACCTGTTTTCTTGTCTCTGCTCCAAGGGCTCCTGTCTCTAGTCCCCAGCCCAGACACCTGGGGATCAGCTAAGAGCCCTCCTCTTGGCTTATAGGTCTTGGAGGAACCTCTTTCCCTCTCCCTGACCCCCCGCGTGATTTTTTGGCACGGCCACTTTCCCTAGCTGCTCCCGGGAAGGGTGGGGCCTTTCTCAGTCTCACCAGCACAGCTGTCAGGGCGCTCGGTTCCATTGCTCTGAAACCCAGGCGCAGGAGGCGCTACACGGTCTGACCTCTGATCCCTGCTCTCGGTCCCCACTTCTTCCCTTGCTGTGTGTGGGTCCCCTGCTTCGCTCCCGACCTCCTTCCCAAGACATAGCGCCGCCCTGCACCGGCCCTCAGGCCTGGGTGGCAGCCTCCTCTGCTCTGAGAACTGCGCTGCCCCGACTGTCTCGGTGACCCCTGGCTCCGGGCAGAGCGTCTCCCTCACTCTGCGACACGGCTGAGTCCCACTTGTTCGGGGCCCTCAGCCCCCTCGGAGCTGTTTGCGCCTCTGCTTCGTGGGACAAGACCCCACCGAAGGACACGAGGACTGTGGTCGGGAACACCTAGTTGGCAAGCGCCGAGCTAAGAGTTTTTCACACATTATTTCGTCTCGTGCTCACAGCGCCAGAGACAGACGCCGTGTCATTGAGGAGACAGCGGAGGAGGTTCAGGCGTCGCCCGCCTCGCGCGGTGCAGGCAGACCTGGCGGCCGGCCGCTCCCGGCCACCTCCTCCGCCGTCCGCTGCCCGCCTCCTCCCAGCGCCCGGGCGGGCGGGCGGGGCGCCTGTCGCGCACTTGGGTGTCGCGGGGCCGTGGGATGGGCCCCGCGCACAGTAAGTACACACTCGGTCAATATTTGCCCACCCAAGTAATCCGCGACGAATAACTGCGGCCGGGAACCAGCCTGGCTCTCGGCTGCGGCTCGGGTCACCCACGCAGCACGGTCCCGCTGGGGAGCTCGCTTAGGACACAGGACCTGGCCGCGCCGTGGGGCCTCGGCAGAATGTAGCTGGTTGGAGTGCGGGGCCAGAATTTGTAATTCCGTGAATATTTCTCCAACGGTGGGAGCTGCCTCGCCGGGCCCTGCGCCCTGTCCTCTCAGCGCCCAGGCAGGCTCGGCTCCAGCTGGCTATCGGGGAGGAGTAGAGAATCAGCGGGCACAGTAGCGGCCAAGAAAGGGACTCCATTTCCCCCTTCCCCTCCCAGGAGGCTAAGAAGCAGCGCGGCCGCCGCCTCCTCTCGCCCCGGGGCACCCAAAGCGGATCCCAGCGGCCCTTCGGCCGCAGGGCCCTCCCGCCCGCGGCGGAAGCTCTCAGAACCTGGAGCGCCCCATTGCTGCCTAGGAGGCCCTGCGAGAGTCACTGCCGGTGTCTGCGCCTCGCTCTTCCCGACTGCGCAGTGGCCGGTGGGTCAGGCGCGTGCCGAGGGCTCTGTCCCACCACCACCCAGAACTGCGGGTGCCCGGCCTGGGCCACCAAGTCGCGCCGGCCGCAGAGGGGGAGGAGCCTGGGAGCCCCGCGGCCTCGTCCCCGGGTCCCCACTGCCCATGGCTTATTCTTGAGCACTCAGAAGGGGCTGGCGGGGCGGCCCGGGGCAGGGCAGGGCCTCTCTGGGCTTCTCCCCTCCGGGCCACAAGTGTACACGGGAGGAGTGTTTCGGCAGAGCTCCCCGCCTTTGCCTGTAGAGCCGGCTCCTGAGAACGGGAGAAGGGCCACTGAGCCGTGGAAAGGAAAGGAGATTCCGGGCCCGCGGACGGCTGGACAAGTCCTTGGGTCACTCTGGACCTCAGTTTCCTCCTCTGTAAAATGGGGCCGGTGATAAACGACAGCGGGATTCTCCCCAGGCTTGCTTCGAGGATGAACTAAAAATAGCCATCCCGAAATCCTCCAGGCTCCAGAAGTTCTTGGGAGCAAGCTGAAAGCCCGCAGGCCTCCCACCCACCGCCCAGCCTCCAGCCCTGGTCTAAGCGTGGCGGGACCCCAGGGGCCACCAGGGACCCAGTGTAGGTTCCTCTCGGAAACCAAGAGACCTGGATCGATCTCGGGTTCCCCCCGGGTGCGGCGAGGCCAGGCCGGGGCTAGGGAGGTTGGCACCAGGCAGAGACAGATCGCAAGGCCTCGGAACCCGAGCGGGGGCCGCGGAGCGCGCGGCGAGGAGGTTCGCCCTCAAAGAGGCCCCACGGGCCTTCCTCTCCTCTAACGCGCCCCTCTTTTCTCTCTCTTCTCTCCCTCTTCCCCCTAGCTTCGTTCCCTTTCTCACCCCAGGTCTCTTTTGCCCGCATCTTTCTCCTCTCGCTCCTTCTCCCCCCACTTGCATCTCCTCGTCACTCTCGCACTTTATAACCAAACAGCCAACCCCCCTTTCCAATTAAAGTGGAATTAGGCAACTCAATCAAATTAGTTCCCCCATTAAAGCCCTTCTTTATTAAACCGTTTTCTTGTCCTGCTATTAAGTTTCACCGCCTGGCGGAACTCGAGCCGGCCCCAGAAGTTTACCTTGGGAAGTCGCCGGGCCCAGTCTAGGGGAGGGGGCGCCCCATTTCCTAAAGAGGGGGAATCACCCTTAGGGGAGCAGGAGGATGGGAGAAGAGGGTTGGCCGAGGAGCCGCTAATTTGCTCCACTCCGCGTGAGAAGTAAAACGGGTACTGGGTGAGATCTGTCCCAAAGGCGCGTCCTCACCGCCTTTCTCGTTCGACACGGCTTCGCGGGAGGGCAGCAACCCTCCCCCATCCAAATAATTCCGAACCCGCTGATCAGTCGCGGCCACCCCTCCTCAGCCTTCGTTGACATTTGTTCCAGACGTCTGCGACGAGGGCGGAGCGCACTGTGAGCCCCGGGCTGCACTTAAATCCGCGCCCCAGGGAGAGCAGGACCTGGGCCTCCAGCCTCGCAGGAACCCAGTCTGGGTGCGCGCGGCCTGCAGACTGCGGATCCAGAGCACAGACAAGGCGACCCCGGAGCTGGGAGGGCCCCCGGGGCGCAGCGGGTACGGCTCCTCCGTTTCGAGCCGCGCGCCGGGAGCCACAGGTAGTTTCCTCTCCCGGGACCCGCGAGGGTCGGGCACTGAAGGGTCCTCGGTAAAGATTCTCCCTGGCACCCGCGGCCCGCGCGGCAAATCTTTTCCACCCGACAGCCCGAGGAGTGGGACGGGATATGGCGTTGTTTTCTTAGAAAATAACATTTATTTCTAGCTCATATCTATGCAAAGGAAAGCACAAAGTGAGCGGTGCTCCGCAGCAGCGATTCCCGCTGCCGGCCCTTCGGCCAGGGCGTTTGGCGAGTCCTGGGAGGCGAGGATGGGCCCTCAAGCGGGCGGTTCTGGCTCAGTCACGCGTCACTCTGCTCCTGCTTCAGCGCGCACCTCGACGGCCACTTATCGAGTGAGACCGGCCGCAGGCAAGAGGGGCGGGAGGGCAGGGTTATTCCCGAGTTTACAATATATTTAACCTATAAAACCTGATAAGCACAATTGCGCGCATAGTCTAATTTTTTCCATTTTGTCCTTTTTTTTGCTTGTTTTTGAATGTTTTTCACGTTAATACCGAGGTCACCTACAAATTACAATTAATAACTTAGAATTCCATTTTATAACATTATACACTGGCTTGTATATATATATGTATAGATTATATATAGATTTATACATATATAAAAACTCACACTGCACCAAGGAAACCCATGCTTGTCTGCATAAGCAACAAAGAGAGCGACAAATACCGCAACGAGGAAAGTGCACCTTAGAACTTGTTTCCTTTTTTTTTTTTACATTTGATATATATGTGTGTCCCAAAGACTCGACTCAGTGCCAAGAGATTTATACATCCTAAATTTATATTTGTTAGAGCGAATATTTTTAAAAAAAAATTTAAGGGGTAGGGAGAAACACCGAAGAGACCCTCGGACTATCCTGCCATCCATTTGAGAGCGCGGGAGAGCGGGGTGACCGCAGCTGAAGGCGCGGCAGGAGCCTACGCCGCAGCCGCAGTCCGAGAACTCTCCGGAAAGGAGGGTTGGGGGAGCACTGGGGAGGGGGCCGCCCGCAGGAGATATGAGGATCTGCACCTGTCGCTGCTCCCCTTTGATCAGCCTCTCCACCCTCCAAAACAAGACAGAAAAACCACCTTGGGGCGGCGAGACCCCAGCCAGGGCGCAGAGAGCGCGTCGGGCCGCCGAGGGGTCTGCCCAAGGGTACAAGGCTGGGGTGCCTGTTTCGGGGCCGCCCGGCTGCAGGGCCCCGCTCCCTACTGCTTTTCCGGCGCGCCATTGACCATTGGCCCGTAAAGGCCTCCGCCGTAGGTCGGCTCCTTGTGCACAGCAGCGGCCGCGGCGGCCGAGCGGTCGCGCATGAGATCGCTGAAGGCGTAGTCCATGGGTGGGCGGAAGCCGAGCGTGGGCACCAGGCCCGCAGTGGAGTAGGGCGCCATGAAGGCCAGGCTGCGACTGTGTGCGGCCGCCGCCGAGTAGGCCAGGCGCAGAGGGCTGAGGCCGAGCGGCGCGCCCAGAGGGTAGGCTCCCGCGTCGGCGCCGAAGTGGCTGGCGTTGGGCTGCAGTGGCGAGAAGGCGGAGCGGCTGCTCAGCGAGCCCAGAGCCCCGGGCGCCATGGCGCCGGCCAGCAAGGGTCTGTGGTGCGGAGGTGCTGCGGGCCCAGCTTGCAGCGGCGCGGGCAGCCCGGGACCTCCGGCCGCCGCGGCGGCGGCGGCGGCGTCGACGCGGCCCGGCCACGCGTCGTCCGCAGCTGCTGCCGCACCCACCGCGGCCTTATCCGGGAGCGCGGTGGGGCCCAGGCCGGCCGCCAGGCCTCCGCGGTGGTGGTTCAGCACCTGCTCGATAGCCTGCACCACGTCGCCGCCGCAGCCCTGAAGCACCAGCTCCAGGACGCCCCGCCGGTGGCCCGGGAAGACGCGCGTCAAGATGTCCAGCGGCGTCCGCTGCCGCGGACCAGGGCCTCCGCCCAGCCCTGGCGCCGGGGCGGCCTCGGCCTCTTCTTTGTCAGCTTCCGAACCGGACTCGGAGCCCAGAGGGCTGGCAGAGCCCGGGCTGTCCTCCTCGCCGCCGCCACTGGGGCCAGCGCTGCTGGGGCAGCTGCCGCCCGCCTCCTTGGAGGACCGGGCCAGGGGAGACCCCGAAAAGGACTCGCCGTCGCCGTTCTCTGAGCCTGAGCCGGGCCGCACGTCTGGAGACGACGTCCCGGGCCCCGAGTCCGCGCCGTCGGGTGACAAGGGTTTCACCGGCGGCGGCTGCGGGCTGCCCGGGCGGCCCGACTGAAGCAGCGTCTTGGGGAACAGGTCAAACTTCTGCAGCTTGGCCTCTGGCGGGGGAGAAGAGGGGGGTGGTGAGGAGCGGTGTCAAGCAGCCGGCTGCGCTCTCAGCGGCTCAACCCTTTGATCCCAGGTTTCTCTCCCCCTGAGCCGCACACCCCCACTCACTGCGCTCCAGGGCTCCCCTTTCTGCTGCGGAATCCCTGCCTCTCTGCGCTCCTCCAGCCCTGCTTCTCTTTCCCTGCCCAGGGTCTCACTCTCTTTCTGAACCCAGAACTGCAACCTCCCGCGCGCTGGACTCCAGGTCCAGAGCTGCCTTTCTCGCCTCAGCGCACCAGCACCTCCACCCTCAACGCCTTCCCCGGCCCAACCTGCCCTGGAGCAGTGGCCGGGTCCAGGGTTCAAACAGGAGCCGCCTTAACGTCTACGTATCTCGTACACTGCAAAGAAAACCTCACTCCTGGATCCCAAACGCAACCCTGCCCTAGGCAGCTTGGTCTGTTAAGGGGCAATACCTTGGGTATCTAGCAGGTTCTCTACAGCCAGAAGTAGAACTATTTCCCACAATTGAGAGCTGAGAAGTTCTTCCTTCCAAACTGAGAGCGGAGCCCCACTTCCCCTACCCGCCACGGCCCCGGCCCAATTTCGGCCAGAGAGAAGAGTGTGGGCTAGGCAGGTAGGAGACAGGGAAGAAAAGGGATCTAGGAAGTGAGAGGGTGCGTGCCCCGGGCAAAAGCGGACGCGTGGAGAAAGAAGCGAGGAAGGAAAGGAGGGCGCAGCACGCGGCAGTCGGGGATAGTTGGGAATCACCTGGAGACAAGCAACTGCGGCATCTTTAGTGCCTGGGGAAAACGAAGGGGGGGGGGCTTGGAGGGGATCGGATTTCTGAGGCGAGCTAGAAAGGAGCGAGGGAAAGGCGCCCGCCGTGCGAAGTGCAGAGACACAGACAAGTTACGAAATGCGGGGTTCCGCTCTGGGGAGAACAGCCCTCCAAGTGAGCGGGAAAGCAGGGACCTGCCCGCGTTTGGGTAGCGAAAGAGGTGAAAGCGTCTACATTTGTGCCCGCGGTGGGAAAAAGTCAAGTGCAAATGTTCCACAAAGGGGAGAGAGGAGATGCAGATGTCTACGCCTGACTTCAGGGGCTGGGTGCACGGTGAACTCTGACACTCGGAGTTTGGAGTCAGCGATTTTACCCTCTCGGTATCGACACAGGTCCCCGGACCGTATGCCAGGGGCTCCGACCCCGCTGCCCCAACTCCCCCGCCCCGGCCTGGCCGCGCTCTCACCTGCGCCCCCTGCGCCTGCCGCGCCGCCTGCAGTCCCCGCGGGCGCTCCAGCTCCAGGCCCCCCGCCGTCGGCGGCGCACACCGAGCCAAAGACCTCGTAGGCGGGCCGAGGTGGGATGATGCCGTTGGCGGCGGCCAGCGCCAGGCCCTCGGCAGTGCCGTAGAGCAGCTGCAGCTCGCGCGCCTCGTTCTCCTCTTGCGCCTGCTGCCTACGCAGCGCCACCTGTGCGGCCATGACGCGCTGGCGCTCGGCGATGAGCGTGCACTTGGCGCACAGGCAGTCCTTCCAGCGACAGTAGCGCTTGTGGCCCTTGAGCGCCGACACTACGCCGTGGTTGCGGCAGCGCGCGCACTTAGGGGTCCGCGGGTACTTCTCGGCCGCCCGCAACAGCAGCGGCGGCGCCCGCAGCAAGCCGCCTGCCACGCTCACTGGCAGAGACGCGGCCGCCGCCGCGGCCGCTGCCACCGACGCCACCGACGCCACGGGCGGCCCTGTCGCAGTCGCAGCCGCCGTCGCCGCGCCGGGCACGCTGGGCAGCTCCGAGCGCAGCTCCATGGCAGGACCTGACCTGGAGAGAGGTGGGGAAGGGGGAGAGAGCTGGGTGAGGAGCCACCGTACGCTGGGCTCAAACGCAGCCTCGAGGGGTGCAAGCTTAGGGAGGAAAGCTTGGGCCGCGGAAGTTGGGGTAGTGGTTGCCAAATGCTGGGAGGAGGCGCGTTGGGAACTCCTCGGGAATCGGAGCTCTCCCACCCCTGCCCGTCACAGATGCTCCTGTGTCTGATTTACGTGCGGGGTGTCAGATTTCGTTTGAATCAGTGGTTCCACTTGGGGGGGGGGGGCGGTAAAAAGACAATGTTGAAAGCCCCTGGTGCAGATGGACGTAACAAAAATTTGAAAAAAAGAGAAAATATCCCCCAAAGCTTAGCTTCATTGGGGTGAGATGGGTGGAGAGAAATGTTTGCACAGTGGTCTCGGATTAGAAAGGAAATCTGGGCCCATCAGGCTGACGCCAGAGGCAAAAACAAGAAACCCCGAGACAAACGTGGCTTGGTGGGACGGTGAAGGGAAGGGCAGAGGTACCTAGGCACAAAGTGGAGTCGGCTGGAATGGAGTTTTGTTTTTAATGTGGATGGGAGCAGGAAAGTTTGAGAGAAAAGTCGGGAACAGGAAGCTTAGCTTTTGCAAGTAGAGCGAGGGCCGGGGAACTGCCCACAATTCCGGGACAAAGTTAGGCCCTGGGACCGTGGACAATATCGGCCCTAGGAGGCCCGCATCACAGGAAAGAGAATGGGTGTGGAGCTGTTTCCTAGGCCTTGAAGACAACGTTGAGCTGAAGAAACTTTCTTTGGATAGGCAAACACAGCCCGGAGATCAGCTCGGAGGGCCAGGGAAACCTCCACAAGCAGCCCTTATGGGTATCTGGGAGCCCCGTGCACCCACCCGAGCGGAACAGCAGTGCACAGAACAGGACTCCGCTGGGAAAGGCTGGCGGCGGGCTAGGGTAAAACCTGTGGCACGGCTTTCAGCCTTAGAGTCCGGAGAAGTAGTTAGAAAGGGCAGAAGCAGCCTGCGAAACGCTAGGCCTTGCTAGAGGGGGGCCTTTTTCGTTGGGCACCTCACTCTGCCCTTCCCTCCAGGTTTAGGGACGGAGTCGTTAGACACGCCCTCCCCATGCCGCTGTCCCACGGGGCCCCGCTGGAGTGCAGGTTCCCTCGTTCTGCTCTCAGCCCAGTTTCTGGGACTTGGATAGTCCCCCAGGCCCCAGTGGAGCAGAGAAGTCGCCTCCTCAGTTGGCTCGGAACGGACGCGGGAGTCCCCCCTGCGCCGCAGCTCCCGAGGCCTAAGCAGGCCCAGCGCTCAGCCTCCACCGGGGCCTCCTCTGGGCCACTCCCCCACCCGTGTTCCCGCCGGAGCCCGGAACCGAATTCTGATGTCTCGATCCGAGACTCCCAGCCCTCGTCCCTGTGCGCGGTGCCTCGCTCCCCATACCTCTCGGGCCTCCCAGTCCCCAGGGCCCGCCGGGCCTGGGCCTCCGCAGCAGGGGCCACAGGCCGAAGGGCCTCCTCTGCTTCCTCTGCGGCCCTCAGCTACCTGCCTTGGGCTCCGGGGTCCTCCTCCTCCGCGGGCGCCGCACGCGCCTCCCGGCTCCGCTCGCGACGCTGGCGCTCTCGGCCTCTTTCCCTTGCCCCCGGCCCCTTATCTGACCACGTCACCCTCCTTCAGTCACCATCTCCGAACTTCCGGACCCCCTCAGAAGGCGGCGCGGTCCGACCTTGCCGTCGGAAAGCCGAGCCGGGGGCCCGTGTAGGGGCCGGCCAGCCAGAACCCGCGAGCCAGCTCTCGCAGTGCCGCGTGCCCTCGAGGTGCGCGCCGGACGCTGCGCGCAGCCGGGGCCCAGTTGCCCGGCGCTGCCAGACTCTCAATGAGCCGCTCGCCCGCTCTATTGTTGCTCCTTAGGGCTCCATTAGACAGAATTGGACAACAATGTGGCGCCTGCCATTGGCCAGGGGAGGCAGACGGCGCTCTGATTGGCCGGACCCGCGCCCGGGGAGCCCCTCATTCTACAGTGTCCGAAAGATTCGAAACTCCAAAAGCGCCACTGTGTGCCTCGGGGAGGGGAGGGGGCGCGCCGGGCAAGGAAAAAAGTGGGCGAGGAGGAGCATTGAAAATACCGTGACAAGTAGTTTCCGTGCGCCCGCGAGCGTGTGAATTGCTCCTAATTACCGTGTCCGGTGCGCCTCTCTACGTAGACGGGTGTAACCCCTGGGCTCCGGGGGCGCCGGCTCGCCCGCGCCGCTCTCGCTGGCCGGGGGCGCTTGGCAAGGCCGAGCTTCCCTAGTGGCCTCGGCGGCCCGGGGCGGGATGGGGGCAGGTGACAATTCAATTACCGCGGTCAGGGTGGGGGTGGGACGGCGGTGCGGGGTGGGGAAGGGAAGGTGTCTACGGCATAAATGCCAAGACAATTTTTTCCTGCCTCTTTCCGGCTCGGTTTCGACTTTGCTCCCAAGTTCAACGCATTTGTGGTGGTTGGGGCTTTTTTTTTTTCTTTTTCCCGCTGCAGTCTTCAAAGCTCAATGCCTTTATTTTAAAAGTCCTGATATGATAGGCATCCCGGAGGGTAAGTCTGGCCCGTGGGGGAATTTTTCGCTTTTCAATGAGGAGCCCAGCCGGGGAAAGGAGTTGCGCTTCCTGCCGGCGCCCGGCGCATCCCAGTGACTTTCCCGCCCCCCATCCCGGCCCTCTACTCCTCCCCTCGTTTCTCCAGCACCTTGATTTCTTTTCTGTGGTGGGATTTGGGGGTTTGGGTCGTTGTTTTCAATGGACGAACAGTTTGCTTTCTACCGTTTTTAAACGAAAGTCAAAAGCGGCCTCTGTGTCTCCCCAGATCCCTTGGAAGCCGGACGCGCCTTCACCTGCGGGTCCCTCCCGGAAGGAGGCTGCGGCCCCCCGGCAGCGCTTTTCACTTTCGCTTTACTTTCCCCGTCCTGACGTCACGGCCCTGAGGAACAGCTCCGTCTGCAGAAGAGGTAACAGGTTTCGGAGTTTGTTCCCCTCAAGAACGGCAACGTCGGGAGCCAGCGCCGCGGTCCTCGCCCGGGCGCCCTCGGTTTCTCTTGCTCTGCTTCCACCTCTGTGCCTTTTCTGTCTTTCCCCCTCATGTTCAATTACTCCCATTTTTATTCCCTGCTTTTCTCGCGCGCGCGCCTTCGAAGTAAAGAAAATTCGTTTAAATAACGAGAAAAACGAGCTTCTCTGTTGTCCCCCTTCTCTCAAGACCGTGCGTTTCTGCGTGGCTCTTTGCAACTCCCAGGGTGGCGGGGGTCTGGCCCACGCCGTCTTGGGCGCGGGCTTCCTGGGCGCGCAGACTCTGCCCAGGGCACTGCGGCCTGTCTGGCACCACACGTGGGTCCTGCCCTGCCAGCCCTGCCGCTTCCGACCCACGGGGCTAGGGAGTGCGGGAGCCGCCTCCTGCCACAGGGCCCCACGGTTGGGCAGACGGCGGAACCTCGCGCCCTGGGCGAGCCGCGGCGCGCTCCCCTGGAAAAAGCCAACCCAGAGGTTGGGCTGGAGGGGCCTTGTGGAGGATGTGCCCAAGGACCGGCAGGAGCGCTTCCAGAACGCTGGCCAGACCGAGCCTGTGATGGCGACAGCAACCTGGCCGCTGGCTCCCAGCAAATCCAGCTCACTGGAGCCTGGGCGTGGGTTTGGGGAGAGAGAAAGGTCAGCCTCCGTGAGGGGACTCTGCGTGCAGTGCGCGCAGGGGAGTGCGTCAGGGATACCGGGTCCTCTGGCGCGCAGCGCCCCGCTCCCACCTTGGGCTCCTGGAGGTTGTGAGCCTAAGTACTGCACCCTGGCGGGCAGTGCGAGGGAGCGCGCAGACTCGCGCCGGATTCCGCGCGGGGAGCCACCAGCCGCCTGCTCCCCGGGTTTGTGCAGACAAAGGTTTCGGGAAATAATTTCAAACCTCAAACGAAATAAACTAGACATATCTGCTGAGCTTCCTGGGCGCGGTGACCCAGGTACCCTTCTTGGCACTTGCAGCCGGACCGCTGGGAGATTCCCCCCACTCTAGACCTGGGGAATCCGCGGAAGCCAAGGTCAAGTCGCGGGGATTCAGACACCCGGAGTTCTGTCGCGGATGTCTAAGGAACCTCGTTTTCTGAGGAGGGGAAGGGGCACGTCCTGGGACGCAGCCCAGCCCAGACAGATGGCATCCTCCCACCTCCACGGCAGGCGCTGGTCTTCAATCCACCCTCTTTCCGCGCGTTCACATCCCCGCAGGTCTGGGACCCGCAACCTTTCCGCCCTCACCCCCAGGTAGGGGTGTCCGTGTGAGTGAACGCGTAAGGGAGGGAGGCGGGGGAAACCCGTCGTTAGACCCACACCTGGGCAGGACAGAAAGCCCCTCCCCACATTTCCCGGCCCCTCGGGGCCAGTCCCTCCTGATCCAGACCGCAGTCTGGAGAGGAGAGGATCTGAGGGGGTACACGCCAGCCAGGGGTGACCGGGTTGAGGCAGCAGGCGCTATCCCCCCCCCCCCCGAAATGAGTGAGGCTTCACACTTGGGCGCACAACCCTGCACGTGTGACCTCACTTCGCAAAAGTTTTGGCCACACCCTCACAGCTGCATGCAGTGGGCGCCCACGGGGGCGCGCTCACCTCTGACGCTGCCCTCCCACTCAAGGGAACCCCTTTAGAGAAAGTTTGACCTCACAGCTTTTCATAAGCGTGCTGTCAGCCTGCGACTTCCACTTGGTGTGTGACTTAACACTCAAGAGCCCACAGACCGCCACCTGGGTGACTGCACACCCAGACACGAGCACATCCTTGCGCGTAACCCCGCACGGGTCCGCGGAGCCCCAGCCCGGCTCCGCGCTGGCCGCGGACACCGGAAGCCGGTGGAGTGGACCTCGGCCACGAACCAGGCGGCTGAGAGCAGAGGCAGTCCTCTCTCGAACGCGTATAATCGTTTGCTGACACCTGTGCGGTGCCCGGGGGCTGGGGTCCCGAGATAACACCCAGCCAAGAAAAGCCGCCCCCGCCCGCAGTGTAGACCGACCCCCTTCCCCCACGCCCACGCCCAGGCAGCGCCAGGGTCCAAAGGGACTATCCTGGTGGAGACCCAGGGCGAGGCTGGGGTTGAGGGCGCGGTGTGGGGGCGGGGGCCGAGGGCGCGAGTTCGGTGGTGCTGAGTGGGAGAAGGGCCGGGGGCGCCGATGGGGGACCCCGGAGGCGCTGACTTTTGCGCTGTTTGCCCGCAGCCTCGGAGCAAGCAGACGCCATCTGTTTGCCGGCTGCGACGCGTCCCGTTTAATTACCCTCCCGGCAGCCTAATAGAGATGATATTAAACTAAATCTTTCTGACATTAAAAGTAATTATCCCCAAACCGGTGGCTCCGGGACGGAATCGTCCCCTCCCGCCCCCACCGCTTCCCCGGCCGCGCCGGATTCCGTTAGTTTGGCTGAAACTCTTCACCCGGGAAGGGGGCGCACAGGAAAACTGGACGGCGCCCTGGGGAACAGGCGTCTCCGCCGGCAGGCCGACCCGCGGTTCCCGCACCGCCTCAGGCGCTCCCGTGGACGCAGACACGAAGCTCTCTTCCAGACCGACCCACGCTGATTTCGACCCGCAGCCTCCCGCAGCCCTGGGTGGATAGGGCGAAGCGTGGCCTGGCTTGCTGTCCCTGACCCCTGACTCCCCAAAGAGGACCCTTTTCCTCGAATCCAACCTAGGCCAGGGCCAGGGACCGGGTACAATTTCGGAGAGCCAGAAAGAACCGCGGTTCTGGGTTTCTAGGGCGCTCTTCTTGTGAGGGGCCCTATGCCAAGCGCTTCTCCTAAAGTGTGTCACATCGCCCTCTGCGGAGCAGGTCCTACTCTCCCACTGGTCAGGAGAGAAAACGTGGCCTCGTCTCCCACTAGTAGGCAACAGGGCGAATTCGAACCCGGCAGTCCCGCATCCCACACCGATGGTTGCACAGTTCCACGAGCGGGCTAAGGCCGGGCGCCGCGAACCTCTGCTTGGCATAAGGCCTCCCTCGGTACCCGCTGGGCCCGGCTCCGGCTGGTGCTCAGCTTCTTCCCCGGTCCTCGATCTCCCACCGAAGGAGGCGAGGAGGCAGCCAAAGGCGAGGGAGCAAGAGCACTGCCACACGGAACCCCGGAGGCCACCGCGCTCCTCCGGATCGAGCCCCTGCGCCCACCGTCGCCGACTTATTTCCACGACCTTCTGGTTAGGCGCTTCGGAGCCTTGGACAAGCGCGCGGAGAGTAGTGTTCACCGCTTATTTGCCTCTTGTGGAGCGCCTACTGTGTACCGCCGCTAAACGCTCGGTGTGGGCAGTTGGTCCCCCGTTTTAGACACGAGGAGGCCAGGCGACAAAACTTGCCTGGGGCACGGTGCTGCTGAAATCCAGACCCAACTCCCACTCTCAGAAGACTTTTTTTCTCCTCATCTAACGTTCTGGTGGGTAGGATCAGAACAAGGGGCTTCCATTCCATTCAGTTTTAATTCAGTTCACCGACCCATTCACGGGAACACTGGAGAAAGGGCCATTCATTCTTGTAACGGCATTTGTTGAGCGCCTAGTATGTGCCAGGCCCTGAGGACCCAAGATAAATCAACCATGATGGGCCATCGCAGAGCTTACGGGCCAGCTGGGGCGCGGTCACCCAGAGCCTAACAGAACAGGGGTGCAGGGGAGCCTCCATTCTCGGACCGGGAAAGGATTCCTGGAAAGAGACCCCTGTGGTCGTTAGGTTTCCCAAATGGAAACACTGTTATAGCAAAATGTGCTATTAAGCATTTCAGACATTTCAGCAAAATGTATTTCATATATATTTTTAGAAACTTTTTTGTGTACCCATATTTACAAAAATATACTTTTTGTTACTTGATTCTGTTGCTTATAAATATGATAAACACTTTTCATAGTAATATATCTACAAAATTTTAAAGGCTTTTTAAAATATTCCATCATATGGATGTATTAATCTCTATATTAATGAGTATTTAGTTTGTTTTCACTCTTTGCTCTATTAAACATTGCTACCATGAACACCCTTTGTGAATTTGCCTAAATATTTCCTTATGCTAAATTCCTGGAAATAAAGATTGAATGGTGATATCTTTTTTTTTTTTTTTTTTTTTTTTATTTTTTATTTTTTGACAGGCAGAGTGGACAGTGAGAGAGAGAGACAGAGAGAAAGGTCTTCCTTTGCCGTTGGTTCACCCTCCAATGGCCGCCGCGGCCGGCGCGCTGTGGCCGGCGCACCGCGCTGATCCGATGGCAGGAGCCAGGAGCCAGGTGCTTTTCCTGGTCTCCCATGGGGTGCAGGGCCCAAGCACCTGGGTCATCCTC